TTTTTTTTTTAATTTAAAAATTTTTGTTATTTAATGTCAAAACTTAAGGAATAAACTAAAAGAAGATCGAATTTCAAATTTTAAAGTCCAAAAAGAAATTTTTTTTTTAAATAGAGAAACTAAAAATAAAGAATTTTTTTTTATCAAAGTAGAGCAATCAAATTAAGGTTTTAATCTACAAAAATATTTTACAATTTGATAAATTAACATTTTTTTTATTAATCTCTCAATATTTGGTAACCACATTGAATCCTAATTAATTTAGAATCAAATCGCGTCGAACTCTATTAGGAGGGATGCCTGTTTCTTTATTCACAAAATTTAAAACTTAATAAGAATCGAACTTTTTCCACTCGGATTAACAAGTTATTAATAAATCAACCTATTCTTAAAAACATAATTATATTAATATTTTTTAATAAGAAGCTACTACCAAACCACTGTGTACTTTGGGCACATTCCTGATATTATTATAGGTTGCTGGATTTCAATTGTTCAAATATTTTTAGGTTGCACGAATTTCCTAGGACATTACCAAATCAGAGAACGAGATCATGCACCATGGCTCATGGATGACACCGGAGCAGCTCAAGCTACTGGCAAGAGGAGCCCGGCAATCAAAGAATCATGTATTACCGGGATTAGCATTCAGCTATGTTAACATGGTAAAAAACATTACCATCAAATTACTTGGACGCATGTGGTGATAGATAGAATAATACCATACTAGAACTAGTTTAATTTTGGATACCAATAACTAATCGAAAACAAACTGTCATAGATTCCATAGTCGTCCAGAGTTACACAAACCAGATGGTAGATAGAAGAACAAACGCCAGATGCATATAGTCAGATAACCAACAGAGATTATATGATATTATGTTCTAATTGGACACAGTAGAGGAATATGTCCGATATAGGGAATACTTGCTGCTGCAGCTTAAAAACCATGGATCTTTATATTTTCCTTCTTCACGATACCAGCCTGAACAAGGAAGGTGGAGACATTCTTCCGCTGGTCACCTTGAAGTTGAATAACCTATAAATTCAGATAGATAAGATCAACTAAAAGATGAGGTACACTAACAAAGAGAGAATAAAGATCAATTTTACATGTGGTTTTCGCATACCTGCCCTAATTCAGGGTCCTGGACAACAGTGCCATTGCAGCAGAACTCCTTCTTAAGGTCCTTGAGTATCTTGTTATAGCTGAATTCCTTCTTCAACCCCTGGACAGTTGTCAGGCTTTTCCTACCGTTGCGCTGCTGAATACGGATGTGCACGTACTCCTTTGAACCAGCTCCTGAGTCCTCAGCATTTGCATCAGCAAAAGGATCTAGCACCCAAGAATATTACAGAAATTTAATTATCCACGTATGAGACAATCAGATTGATAAGGGCATACTTGTTCAAAGTTTGGAAGAAATTACCAAAGGCAGTAGGAACGTCAAGAGCAGACATGAACCTTAGTTGATGGAAAAAGCCTAACTATCAGAATGCT